CATTTTTGGAAAGGGGGAGTCGATTATAGTCAAGTAAAAAAAAAAATGCATTGTTTGCCAGCACAGCATAAAAGCCACACATGTAGAGCTTGTGAAATTAAAGAATGTTAATAAAAGTGAATGGTCATGAATGCTTGAGTGAGTCACTGTGGAAACATTTTGATGTGTTTGTATTTCAAAGATTACATACGTTTCATGTTTGACCAGTGCATTCCTCTACATACCTGCTTGTAAAGTGCAACCAAATTATTTTCAGAAGGGGTGTTTTATGGAAACAGATGGTGGAATCATTGGTGAAATGGTCAAAAGCAGATACATAAATGAATAAAAATATCGTTCAGTTATAGAAGTTCAGTGCTTCATATTCTGGCATTAAAGAATAAAAAGGGAAGTTTTAGGTTGGAGCAAATGGCTGCCATTCTGTCCTTTTTGATACCAACACTGTAGGCGCCGATATTAGGGACATTTTCAAGTCAACAGCTTGACTTTTTATTAGCTAAATATTTAGACATACGCATGAATACGTGCGTGGCGGAACGTTTGGGATTTTCTGTAAAATCAGTTTATCAGTTGTTTTGTCTATGTCAGAGACATACATCACAGAGAACAATGTTACCACTTCATTTTTGCTATCAGTGAACAACAGGAAGGCTGGCTCCATCGTACTTAGACATGTTACTGTACAATGCATGTGCAATTGTGCCACTGTGAATAAGCATAATGGAGCATGACTTAAAGTGAATGGACCTCAAGCCAATAGTATGTATAATGTGGATATGTGGCTCAGCAGTTTCCCAGGGTCACACAAGTCTCTTCCATCGTTGCGTGCTGGTTCAGCACTCCCATGACTATGATTGATTTGATTTCCCTTTAAATAATTATGCCCTTGCAGCGATCACATCTCTATGACTTCAAGTGCTTGAATGTGGGCTTTAGGTTTTTCTGCTGGTGCTGTAATAGGAAGCAGATTATAGACTAGATATAGGATTGGGTGCCAATGAAACAGAACAAGGAAGCACGGCTAAGCTCTATGATCATCAGATCATATCACCAAACATATTTTGGTGATCACCAAAATGTGTGAGAAACAATGTTTGGTCATGAACACATCCTTGGCAGCAAATGTGTCAGAGCAGTTGTATTAACAGAAATCCTGATGACAATATCTGTCTCCCTTGATAAAATTGAAAAGGTCAATGGCATTTTATACATTTCTGGGTTGGTGGAGACACAGTTAAGAGGCTGTTAGCGCAGTTGATGTTGGGCTGAGTGAGAGCATCACCTCTGTGCAGGAAAGTCCCTAGACAGCATTGTTGAAGTAGTTCTCTCACTCTCACTTTTGTAAACATGGCCTTGAGGACTCCCTCCTGACACCAACTTTCATAACCATCCTC